TCCTTAGGATCTTCAGTCGATACTATCAAAATAACAAGAAACTACAGGAAAACTGACTGGACAAAGTACAAACCACTGTTAGACCTAAATATTAACAGGGAAAAAATAACGAATAAAGCATAGAGCTTTCAAGAGTTAGAAAAGGAAGTAGAATACTTAGATAATAGCATAAATAACTAAGGGAAGCGAAAAGATCGACTCTTAGAAACTTCTACGAGAATATATCCTCTATACCGGATGCAACCAGATTAGACAAAGCATAAGCTAAAATACAGTTGAAAGTAAAATGGCACTAAATCTAGAAGACAACAAATACACCAAGAATGAAAAGGAATGAGCGATGGTCCTTCTCAGAATTTAATTTCCAAACTCAACAACAGAAATTACAACACCTTTGACAAATTCAAATCACCTGGAATAGATGGTATATGGACAGCAGTATTACAAAACGAAGGACAAATAACATCCGAACTGGTACATATCAAGACAGTAAGCCTTTCATCAGCATACGTACCAATGTCATGGAGAAGAGTCTTAGTAAAATTTATACCCAAACCTTGAAAAAGGACTACACAGTAGCTAAATCTTTTTGGCCAATAAGTTTAATATCCTTCCACTTAACAGCCATAGAAGATTGTTGAGAACCACATAAGAACAACTTATCAAAGGAATCCTCCTCTACACTTCGCACAGCATGCGTACAGAGAACAAAGAAGTAGCAATATGCGCTTTCTTAGACATTGAAGGAGCTTTCGACAATACCTCTCATGGAACAGTTGACAAAGCATTTCGTAAAAAAAGAGTAGAAGAACCGTCTCGAAACTGGATCAACTTTTTCCTTAACAACATAAAAGCAGATCCAGTTGAAGACAAGGAAACAATTCAGATGAAGACCACAAAAGGGTACCCCCAAGTAGAAGTACTATCATTACTCCTATGGAGCCTGGTAGTAGATGACCCACTAGAGCTCCTCCATAAAATATCAAGGATAACACTGTAATAATAGCCGATAACACTGAAATAATAGCAGTAGGCGAATTCGAGAGCTCAAATTAGCAAGCAACTGATGCTTAGAAATAGAGCTGAACATTAACCCTAATAAAACAACGATCATGCCCTTTACATAAGGGGAAAAAATTAAACCTAAAAGACATAAGATTAAACAATGTAGTAATAGAGCAGACCATTGAAACGAAATATCTGAGGGTGATTTTTGATCCCAGAGTAACATGGAAAAGTAATCGACGAGACCAATAATGCTATGCAGAAGATTAGCAGGGAAAACACAGGGGTTTACCCCCAAAATACTGCACTGGATGTATACCATGATAATAAAACCAACAATAACATATGGCGCGGTTGCCTGGTCAGAGAACGTTTCCTACAGTAGCACTAAAAGCTTTGGCCAATGCCAAAGTTTCAATGCCAAATTCAAAATATCCTTAGGGGGAAAAAAGATCATAGAACCAGGAAGTAATAAGATGTATAATTAAATCATTTATGGTATGGAAATGTGTTAAGAACCTCAATAGAGTGGGCCAACGAAGCAAAGCTTCGCTCAACTGGGTTCCGGGACACACAGGTATTGAATAAAACGAAATATCAGATAGATTCGCAAAAGAAGCTACCTTAATCTCTCCTACTGGACCTGAGCTATTATTTCCAGGGATTCACTCAATTAGAGAAGAGATAAGAAGGGAGGAAATGAGTATAAGAAACAGCTATTGGCATTGTAGCGAAGGAATGAGACAACCAAAGAAACTTATAAACGACTACAATTCAAAAAGATTTAATAATCTATTATTATTTGGTTAGAATAATTTAAGAACACTTACAGGATTTCTTACTGGACATTGCAGACTGCGTAAGCACATGTACAGGCTCGGAATATGCTCCGATGACATTTGTCGATTCTATGAGCTAGTACCAGAAACACCGGTGCACATTATTCTTGAATGCGAGATTGTTGCAAACAGAAGATACAAACACCCAGTAGTCATTCAGCCGAAGGAGAACCATATTAAACCAATCAGCCCTTCTAGCCTGACTAGTTTTATAAGGGCAATAGGTCTGGTTGAAATAATTTGAATAAATCTGAGGGCACAATAGCCCACTGGTCGCGTCCTCCTTACTAATCTATCTATCTATATGAAATAGTATATTTAAAGCTGGTGTATAGTTGGACAATTGGCAGTTCTTAGAAAATTGTCTGGGTAAAAATTCTAATTGCATACATTGGAAATATATAAGGGGTAAACTAGTTGGTGTAAAAGTGCAAATTAGTTGGATTTTAGTTAACAGCCAGTGTCTTTCTCTACGGGATATGCACATCCAGATGATGGCTTAAGAAGTTTAAAGGAGTTTTTGTAATTATTAACATATACTCCCAGTACCAAAGGCCTAAGTGAGTAATCAACCAGTATGCAAATATTCCTGTTAAATGCTCGAATAAGATGAAGTCATTATCAGATTGCCATTTGTACGCAAATCAATTTTAAATGGAAAACCCACAAATACCACCACCGTGAGATTTTTTAATTTTTAGCAAATTACAGTGGTTTCATTTCTGGAGTTTGAATTTCAAAACTTTCCATTTTCGATTTCGCCTTCACTGAACAACAAAAAAAATTACATAAATGAAAAACCAAATAATGATAAATAAACTTGATAAATAATAATTTAAATTTGCACAAAGTTTTTACCCATTATATTGGAGAGCATTCTTTCAATTTTAAATAAAAAGTGAGAATCAGCAATGATAACTTTATTATTGTAATCTCGTTAATCATAAATCTCATACCTTTTGGCTTATTGTAAATTAGAAATATTTTCGCATTCATGAAAAATTTATCAAATGTCTTCTTTGACTTGTATTTCAGAAACCAAATTTCAGTCACATGGCATTAAAATGAATTGCATGAAAATTTCTACGTCTGACGACATCAATCAAACTTAACCGGAAATTAAGAAACATACATATGTTGACTAATTCTTCAATATTTTTCATTTATTAACAGAATTAAAAAAAAAAATTTCGGGTACTGAAAACAATACATTCCCGTACACTCATTCATGTAAAATTCTTCTTCTAATTAGAAACATAAACAATTAAATTAAATATCTCTTGACTTTGTAGAACAGTGCTTATACACTACTGTTCATCGGTAATTCCACATATCTTATGTAGTTATCTGAAAGGAGATTCATTCCTTAAGTATGGCTTGTTTTATAGAGATGACTTACTTTATCCTATAAATAAATTTTACACTGTTAATAAATTTCACCGCAAAATCAACTGGTTTTTAGTGTATGTATGTATATAAAAACTTATACTTAGTTGACACCTTTAAGTACTAATTTTACTCCTTTTTTTATATAGCACCATGAGAGTTGACTATTTTACAATTAACTACACAATAAATACGCGCCAGGAGTTTAGCAGTACAAGGGATTGCATTTTAGGTGCTGTTTTGAATATTGTCTCTTTTTTTACAATTCTTGCTAATAAAGTTAAAAAATGCTAAAATATTTGGTTTTTTTCATTTGAATGCGATTGGTATGAATTTTATTTTTAATAGTGCTCGGATTGCCCAGTTCTGAACTTCTCAGTGCGGCCGGCAGTTCGTATTTATATAAGGTTTATTAACCTTTTAATAACCATTATTTTTATGAAAAACCATGCCTTGATCTTTATATTTCGGCAAAAATTAGAGCAAACTTGATCGATATTCCATGAAAGGTCTAATAAAAAGTAATTCATTATTTTAGAAATAGATAGCTTTAGTGATATGTATGGCGCATTCTATAAGTTTTATTGGCCTGATTTGGCGTAGTCTTGAGCACACCACTTATGCAAATCACGGCTGAACATTGAATTTTATATAAAGCTTTAACGTTCCTCTCCCTATTTAACGTAGACCACCATACACCCAACTTTTACAAAAGTATTGGTCTCGCAATAAATATAAAGATCCAGTGGCAGCTCTTAAAATTTTAACTCCACAGAAGGCGGCGGAGGCCTTCTGATATCTGATTAATATACTGGCTTTTCAGCTCATCTTCTTGTCCAGAACTCCACCCAGAAATTTTGCCTAGGTTCCTTAGCTTAGGCAAATCCCATTTAAAGCTGGAGATTTTATTGCCGGCACTACATACCTCTTAGCAAATAAGACGAGTGTCACCTTATTTGAGTTAATTCAAAGTTTACAACGGTTAGACCAATAAGATAAACTTATCCCTAAGCTATGGTAATATTAGCAGCATAACAATTCGTCATGTAATGTATAAAGAATTGAATTTCAGTGCTACAAAAGACACCCATAAGTTGAACCCGAAACTGAACAATATTTAAATGTAAAAAACTTTCAGGAAAAGTGTTTTTCAAGAAGAATATTATAAAGGCCAATAATGGCAACAAAAATCTTATATCTTATCTTAAGTCTTAAATAGCACCCAATGTAATAACGAACCCAACAAAAGGTGTTAATAACAAAGAAATAATTTGGAGTTTTAGTGTATCTTTTTTTCTTTTTTTTTACTGAAATATTCCTCTTTTAACTACATAATCTCATTATCAGACATGCGCTTTCTTTATAGTTATGCCTGTTTTTACCACAATATATATAGAAAATAAAATTCACAGATTTAGCAAATAAGTCCCATTCGCAGTTATTGAATTCATATATCTGCAAATTTCAGATAATTGTTTTATATTTTTTATATTTTTTATACATACAAATAAAAAATTAATCGCAATTTGAAGAATAATACTAAACTGTCGGAAAATATATATCAACGTAAACGCAGTAGAGTTTCAAGGGTGTATGCGTAGCTTTATACAATTGCCTTGCTATTGTAATTTAACTCGTCCTTTCAATATTTAGTGAATCGCCTATACTTAATACTATGTATTTACACATTCATTTGTATGTATCTCATAGTTCGAGATGTGAAAATGTACAATTGTGTGGTTTGGTTTTCTTAGGTAGAATTGTACTTACATATTTTCTTTGAAACATTTCCACTTAGAGACGGTGAAGAATCAATTTTATTTGTCCTTGCTCGAATATCTCTGGTTTGATATTTTATATTTGGAACAGAGAGTAGTCGTTGATCCCTTTGCTTCTCTTTAAATTTTTGACGAGCTGTTTTAGCACTCAAAATATCTGATCCCTGATTAGCTTCGCTTGACCCGGAGAGAGGTAAATCGCTAGGTCTTGAAGTTTGGAAACCCTCGGTTACATCTTTCTCAAATTCAACTTTCCTCGCACCAAATTGACATTCATTAGAAATGTCAAAAATATCGCCATCATCTGTCGAATCTTCATTTGTGGTTTGATTTGCATTATTACTATTTCTTTTAGTAAAATTACTCAATGGTTGACCATCACAATCACGTTGCTCAGCATCTGGCTCGTTGCTGAAATCACAGGTATTCTCTTTACTCTCGCTTCGAGCGCTGGTGACTCGATCTTTTGGTGACACACTTTCACCACTACCACTTTCAACAGGCGATGCTGCTTCCTTTTGTGTGTAAAAGACTGAATTATTTTTAAAAGAATCGATTTCGGTGTTCACATTGATACCGATTTTCATATTGACTTTAGATAATTGACGTTTAAGATTGAACGTTTTCCATGACATTGACTTTCTTCTATCCTGTAGTTCTTTAGGTGGTGTGGATGTTTCTTCGCGAAGGGGACTTTTAGACACAATATTCGTTGATGTAACTTCATTATCCGGGGATGTTGGTCGCGATGAATTTGACTGATTTTGGTTAGATGAAAAAGGCTCATTTGTTTCGGGTATAAATTCAATGGATGGGCTGTCAGGACTAGTGGTGTCGTTCAGCTATATTAATTTACAATAATTTAAGCAAAAAATGAGGATAATTTTGCATACTTCAACAACGAACATAATAGAGAGATTGTGTAAAGTACGAGTATCGTGTCCTTCTTGTTTTGTTATTTTGTTTGGTGCAGTACAAATAGGACATATTCAAAACAAAAGCTTTTGGGAGATGGCTGATAACTATCAGTTAATAGTATAAACCATACAGAGTTTGTAAACATTAAGCCCCGAAAAAATCCAAAACCAAATTAATATCAATTACTAATTTTAGCATTTATTTTGTTAGATATTGTAAGTAAATATTTACTTAAAGAGCATTCAATTCAAAATCACTATAGATTAAATTACGACACACATTATAAATAATAGTATTAATTTAGAGCTATCTGTTGTAAATCTTGGGAAAAAAAAAACAAAAAATATAAAAAGAAAAATCGGTTTTAATAGTTTGTATCTATAAGTAATTTCTTCAAGTGGCTTTGGTTTTGTGGCGATCGCCTTGGTATAAGTATTTCGTTTCGTTTGTTTTGTAGTTAATTAAGTGAGCCTGTAAACTTGACAGCGTTGACGTATCTACAAAATATTATCACATTCATAAAGGTGTATATAACCCATGCTACTTACTGCATAATATAATTTTAAAATAAAATTGTTTGATTATTATGTTTGTTATATGAAACTAATAGGAAGGCAGAGAGCGGTACGCTGGAACCATTGCTTACTCTCCCATAGAGAAAAATATGCTAGAAACGGACAAGTTTTTAGGCTTATTGTTTGCTATTATTTTGTCTTATTGTGGCTAAATAAATTTGTTCGTATTAGTATGCGCAGTATGTGCAAAGTCGCTTTCCGTACCATCGTACCCTATATATTCAACATCAACATCGATTTTCTTATCCGGTGAAGTTTTTCGTTGAAGGGTATGGATTGGTTCACCCTAGACCAATAGGCCATTAGTAAAAGCAAAATCTGTGTCGATAACCTAATACTGGGTTGTTTGTTAGTTAGATAAAGTACAACGCCCATAAGGGGACGGGATAAGCGACTTGACCTAATTATAGTGAATGTGTATGTATAATAAGCTCTACTATTTATTTATTAAATTAATTGGTATTTTTATTACGATGGGGATAATGGGTTGAAAAAAGTTGTATCCTTTCAATATATTAACCTGCAAGCGAGATAGATTTTTCAGAACTGTCATTTTATATCACTCTGAGCTAGGAGCGGGCTGTAAGATGGGTGACTTAAAATATCGAAGCCCAATCCATGCATGGCAGCCAAGGCAATCCGACTGTTTATTTTTGTAGGGATGTGGGCACTCTGAACGTGCAGGAAAAAAAAACTGCCGTATTCGATACTTCAACATTTTTTTTAACTTTATGGATAAGTTTTGGCGTGGTAACGTCGAATGTAACCTTGATTTATTGCAGTAATATGACCGCTTCTAAAAGACACGTTCCATTAGTTCCACTTTAACCAACGCATGCAACTCATAAAATTTTTGGTAAAAATTATCTAAGGAATAATAGGAAACAACAGATTTTTAAATAATTCTTATAATAAAATTATTTTCTTTTAATTTACTATTTATATATTTTTGTATATAATCCTCGAGGATTACGTGGGAATCTTAGAAATAATAATTCAATATTTTTCAATGAAAAGTTATCGTTACCAATATTGTGGTTGATAACTTGACAAAATTGTTATTGTCGTACCTTCTATGGATAACTATATACATATAAAATTGGCGCTTTATAACCGCTGTAGCGATTTTTGGCCGAGCTCCGCCTCCAATTTGTGGTTTTGGGTCTTGATGTTTTACTAACAAATGGAGGGACCTACAGTTTATTTTAAGTCGCCCGAAAGTCTGATTTACACTGGGAGGGCTTGACATTCCCTGCCGATGGCAGTACGCAATGCTAACTCCTCGGCTATTGCGGCTCCCATATGGATAACTAACTTTTTACAATTTAAAAGACCCTAAAACCAGATGGGGTTATGCAATAATAAATACAATATGAAGTGAAAAGAAAGAAAGTTTAGGATCATTCATAGAATAAGCCGCAACTCGATAAATTTTCAACCAGATATGATGGCCACTGAAAAACGACGCTAACGCAAAACATAGTAGAAGGTATATGTTTTTCAATTATTTTTCACAATTTTGGAAATATGACATTATAAAAATATTTAATAATTTTTCAAAACAAAAATGAACGTTTTTTACCTCAGAAGCGCTATTTTAAAGACCACAAGGTTTTTTTTATTAATGTTTTCAAACGTGAGGAGTTGGAGGACTTGATTTATTAAGCGCAACAAAAGCCATAATAGGGATAGTAATGAACAATTGTTCAAAATGGAGTTACTGAATTTTTTCTAATACAAAATTATGCCCAATACAAAAGATTTGTAAAAAATATTGTTATATAAAAGTATAATATTTTATTGGTCAGCATGCCACTTGGCCTTTTCCAAGTACCTAGTTGATTTTTACAAGTCAGCAAAAAAGTTGGATGAGCATGATTGTCAAAAATTGTTGTTTTCATCGTTTACTTTGTCTGCGACAGCCACTAAGGTTATAGATGTTTTTACTCGGCAATTTTCGTTTGACAGAAAAAATATATCAAAAAATTTGTATAATGTTTTGCGAAAAAAATGGAATAAACGCGGGGCAAAGTTGCGCAATTGGACTTTTTTAATTTTGACACCACGTCATATGAGATTCTGAGGTGTTGAAGATGGAAGTGTGAAAGAAAGACAATAAGATAAACTTGACATCTAAATTTTAATTTGCATGAACGACGTATTTTATTTCTTAAAACGAAACTAAATTTCAGATATTTATTGAAAAATTAATAGAAGTACAAAGTAGTTTATTTTACAATAATTTATCAAAGAACGACTCGTTCAATACTCAAATCCTTTGACAACACTTTGAAGAGAAAAGTTGCTAGTGCACCACAAGTAATTGGAAATCTAATTTTTATTAATTTTTCGCTTTTCCACGTGTTTCCAATCACTGACGTTAAAAAACGCTACGCTCCAAAAGTATGCCAGTAACGCAAGAAGACCGTGTTTCAGAAGTGTTTCGGAGATTGGAAAAAGCCTTACACAAGTGTTGCATTCTAAAAGAAAACTTTTTGAAGGCGACAAATTCAACGTAAATGCAGACGATGAAATAAATAGTTTGTTCTTTTTATGAACACCCCTCATATAAAATCGAAGTATTTTGGGTTTTGTCCACGGAATTTTATGTGCATGCGCTACAGAGCTCGTATCTGGCAACACTATACATAATTTGAAAGGTCTTGACATAACCTAAAAAACAACGCTATGCATGATTAGTTTGGATATTGCGTTCAACAGTTATAGACGTGTAAACATGGAGTTCACTAACGCCGAAATTCGCGCTATTTTAAAGTTTTCCTTCGTTAAAGGCAAATCCGCTAGAGAAACGTTCCGTGAGATTAATGGTGCTTTGGGGGATGGTACTCTATCACTTCGAACCGCGGAGGAATGGTTTCGACGATTCATAGCCGGTGAAAACGACACCATGGATAAGCCAGCCGGCGGAAGATCTGTGATGACAAATACCGATCAAATCATGGAATACATCGAGTTAGATCGGCAAATGGCATCTCGTGACATCGCCCAGGAGATGGGAGTTAGTCACCAAACCATTTTGAACCATCTGCAGAAGGCTGGATACAAAAAATAGTTTGATGTTTGGGTGCCGCATAATTTGTCGCAAAAAAACCTTCTGGACCGAATCAACGCCTGCGATATGCTGCTGAAACGGAACAAGCTCGACCCATTCTTAAAGCGGATGGGGACTCGCGACGAAAAATGGTGGTGTGAAGTTGAACTCAAGAGAGGCTTGTGGCTGTCCGAATTCTTCGCAAATAAGGAGGGGGGCTACTACAAGGAAGGTATTATGAAGTTGCCGTCTACATGGAAACAGATCATCGAACAAAACGGCGCATATTTTAACTAAATCCGATCACTGTAACACTTTTTATAAAGCAATGAATGAAGAGCAAAAAAGGGGAAGGGAGATATTTGACAACCTTATATAATGCAAGAAAAAAACGAAGATGAACCTCGAAAACACATGTTGTTTTGAAAGTTGGAACACCTCTCAAGAGATGTCGGAGTCTTCAGAGGTTAAACTTGAACTTGCTAATGTGGTGTCCAGTAACTCATGATTGTCACCCATACACATTGACACAATTTATATATAAAGTACACACTAATTTTACATTTATAATTATTTTTAACTAAATATATTTATTTACCAAGGATTCCTCAGACCAACAATTTTTTTTTTGCTTTCCCATATTTAAAAATTAAATTCAAATTATGTTGAAAATTTTGAAAATAAGGGCATTATCTCGCAAGGCACGTGCAAAAGAAAACACTTATATTAGTAAAATTTAATAAAATACAAAACAGCACCAATATCAATCCAATCAGCTCAATTAAAACAAATTCTGCAAACGAAAGAGGGTATATTAGTAAGAATGAAAAGGGAGACCCTTTTTAAAAAATATTTAAGTTTCACGTTGTGAAGTAGTTCGGAAAATCGCCATTCATTTTTCATATTTATTTTTTAAAACAACAGATAACCACAGAGGACATTAAAAACCTAGTTGAAGATGTTAGTCAATCCAACATCTAAAAAGCATCCACTTGGTAGGGATTGCGTACACCTTCTTGTAGCAATATGAAATAATCGAGATGGAGATAAACTCAGAATCTTTAAAATCATTAAAATTAAAAGATAAACGAGGTGAGTTGAGATAGCAATCTTCATCGGGTACCAAGAAAGGTTGTATAAAAAATGCGCAATAACTCTCAGCCAATCAGAAATACTCCATTATAAGTAACACCATTTGAGTGGCGAGAACTTATAAATCATCAAAATGACTTGTGTGATTCGTATAAATGGGATTATTAAAAGAAACATGTAAAAAGCTCTTCTTCAAGTGATGAAAGCGTGGTCAACTGATTTTAACCCAGATTTATACATTAATCAGATTCATTGGAATTTCTAAATAATCATCGGATATTCTAGCTTCTCCATTGAAGCAAAAAAAAAAAAAATGCTTCGATTCTTTTATGAAGATATTCCTGGTCTAGTGAAAGCAATGGAAATACAAACATATAATACAAATGAATGGCGTTTATTTAAGGCTTCTTCTATAGCAATTGCATATTCAACTACAGCCAAAGAAGAGCGGGCTACGGTTGTCCTTCCATTCAATCTACGGTACAGAGAAAATTAAATGTGATAAATGAACCCCTTGTACTCAGGGTTCGCATCTAGACATATGGACAGGAAAAACAAGTTCTTTAATTTGAGCGAGGGAAACTTAAAGCCGGAATTTTCCTAATGCGATCAATACAGTACGAAATATACATCTGCATTCCAAGAAGTAGTGCATTCAAACAGACGGATAGACAGGCGATCATAACTAAATCATTTCAGCTCGTCATTCTGATGCGATCAGTATTAATCAGATTTTTCAACAAAGAACTGCATTATCTACAACATTGTCAAAATCGAAAATGGATTTTACACCAAATACATACATTTGCGGAGGTGGTGGAAGAAATTATCAGACTGATTTACGATACTGAACTTTGTGTGTGTTACTGGAATTATTCTGTGAACTTCAGTGCCAACTATCATGCATTGTTGATAATTGCGGGTTAGGAGTTGAAAGTATTCACTTTACTTTATTAGTCTTTAGGAAAACTTATACTAGTTTTCCGACGCCGTAGAGTAAACCTTTTGACCTTAGTGTTGACAACTGCTGTTGAATGGACTTAATGTCACTAAAAGGCTAGACAATTGTTAGGGGGGGAAAGCCAGATTTTGCGCGCGTTAAGCAAAAATTCAAGTCAGCTGCGCTAGGCAGATAAGACTGGGTAAATATGGAGAGACAGGACCAAACTCGACTTACAGTTGTACATGCTCTGTGTTCTTTAAATAACATATACTGTTAAAAATTAATTGTGGGAAAAACAATTATTGAGTAGAATTAAATCTTTTTCATTAACAGTAAGAAAGAGTTAGTTATCTTCGTTATACAACACTTAATACATAAGATCGCTTAACGTGTTATTTAACTGAAGATTATGTTTACTGCATAAACCATAAACCAAAGTTTAATTTTTTATTGATTTTTATAAGTTAGGTTATTTCATTAAATATTTACTTATTACCTTCTTAATTACTGCATTTATTGTATGTTTTTAAAAAATTTCACCACATAAAAAATTCTTGCTATAAGAAAAAATAATATGACTCTTCATACTGAATAAAGCATTTTAGATCCATGCTCAAGTAAGAAGTTTTGTATATGCATAAATGCATATTCGTCTCTTTAGTGTTTAAAAGTTAAAATCCTATCTTTTCAGAGCCTATTTATATGCGGCGCAATATATATACTCAAAAAAATATCACTCTCGTTCACATCTATTAGTTAGACAAACATTCTATTTCCCAGTATTTAGTATTTTTCTACTACATTTATACCTCAAGGCATTTATAAATTCTGACTTTATACCAACTATTCAAACTACCTCGACGATTGATGCTATTAATACGAGTAATCTACAACTCTCTGTGTGCATGCGACCAAACGTTGAACTATGGAAATTATGATATATACGTTCACACATTCTCTAAACAAACTAACATTCAAAAACTTATCTGGGGAACAACGCTCTTTTATAAAAATTTCGATTGTGAAATAATAATAATTATAAAATAAATATAATATTTAGTTATAATTTAATAATAATTACTACGAATACGTAAAATGTTTGCGCGTTAATAAGCAATGTTTATGTTGAAATAAAATTTACTAAAAAAAAAACTAACAGAAAAACTAATAATTAAAATAAAGCATAAAAACGTTATTCAAGTACTGATCAAATAAAGAAACTGGGAATCACTTACCTGGTCTGAACTGGGCGATCGACTCTGCTCTTCTTTATTCTCAATTCTTTTCGGACTTTTTGGATTCCGGGAGTAGGGATCATTGGCGCCATAGAGGTCGGGGCACGCCACACTTAACAAACAAATTTTTTGTACAATGTCAATAACAACAAGTCCATATTCAGTTCCATATGCCATACTGGAATAGATAAAAAAATCAATAAATCAATAAAAACATTATTTATTTCGATTAACCACTATTTCAACTAGTTTTCTTATATCTACAACAAATTGTATAGTCGATTATGTGTATTGTTGCCGCAATTGTTTGTCTGTAGAAAAATCGTCACAAAAGGTGGCTATCTAAGCATTTATATGTATGTATTGAAGTTGGGGATCGTTACTCGCTCATGACTTTGACTAAAACATTAAAGCTGGAAAGGCTTGCATTAATTTATTGAATTTCTATAAGAAAATTACACAGGACAGCGCCAAAAAAAATATCTCATAAAGCTGTAACAGCTTACTCTGTAAAAAGCTCTTCGTATTTGATCACAAATAATTAATAAAGTTGATATTAAAATTTTTTCTCTTTCATTGATCTTCAACATAAAGTCAAACGAATGAATGATCGATTTCTTAATGTCGGAGATATTCAATGATAGTAAGCCTAGGAAATGGAAATGCATAGCGCCTCTACTATATGGAATGTATTATGCTAAATTGTTAACCATTTTCAAGTAATTTTTGAGAGTTTAACTGATTTGGTAAGGCGAGGCTCGTCTGTGAAACTCAAACTAGTCTATTGGTATTATGTAGATGTCGGTTCAGTGTAAGTTACTCCGCTTGAAATTTTAATTTTAAGAATGTGAATAATGGCATTTTCTGCGGCTATGAAAATGTGGCGACGATTGCTTGAAAGGATTTCGGGCCGTTTAAATGATCGATAAAGTTAGCTATTATATAATACGAAATATATACAAATGATTATGTGTATCCTCGCTGTAGGATACACAACTAGTGCATACAGATTCACGCCTATTGTAATTAAAGTGTAAATTTGTAATGATTATGTACATATGTTAGTATGTATGTGTATATGCGAATATGTGAGTTATGTTTGCTACTGCAATAAAGCTTCACTTACAGCCCATAACTGGAATTTATGCATAGGGATGTGATTTGAACATTTCTTCTATTTGGACCAGTAGTCAAACAAACTAATTGCGACTGAAACCCAGGGGGTTTTCGTTGTGATCCCACTTTCACTTTCAATACACAGTCGGTCTGTAAGTAATTAAAAATTTATAAACATTTTGGTTTTTTTGCGAATTTATGAAATATCCTCAAAGTCATGAATATGATAGATGTGTGTTATCAGTGTTAGTCGACATACTCATCCATTGTAATTATTATATGTAATAATCAGCTCCCAACGGCAGCCGGTTCGAAGTCAGTGTTCACTAGGGTTTTTACCGGCCAAGTTTTAACATCCTATTAACGGTATAGCCCCTTTTATATCGATATGTAAAATTATGTGTGTTGAAATGTCCATCAACTGAGTAACCGTTTGCGAAAGACTTATTATAAATTTCCTTAATTCGTTCTCTCATTTCGTCAAACCCTAACACTATTAACGCTATATTTTTTGCGACAAATGCAATGTCAACAGTTTTGATCAACAGCGACCAATAAAGGCGAATGATAAGTTTGAGACCTAAAGTAGTTTGAGATGACACATCATCTCGTTGCTGATAATACTAATTGCGGGACTGATTATTAGTATAAACAACATAATTTTTTTATTATGTTTATTGAAATTGTGTTCCTGGAACAGGCAACAACACTATGTCAGCGGAAATTGGAAATATCGCAAAGAAAGAATTATTTTGAAGAGATGTCATCGCCTATTCAGGACTATGCCGCATCATATAAGATGGTGGAAAAAGGGGCTCGACTTTTTCGACAAGGAAGAGAGACCTGTGACCCCGCCCAGGACACAGTGACGATCGTGACCATAGAAAATGTTCCGAAAATCGAAAAACTAGTACTGGCTGAGCGAAGAATTACACTGTGGCAAATAGCAGAAGATACAGATTAGCAAGGAACCAGTTACCATTTTCTGGGATAGCGGGGAATATTATTAATTGACAACCTGCCAAAGGGAACTACAATGAACGGCCATTATCACGATAATTTTTGAGTAAGGCGCGTGCGGCATTCATACATAAGAGACGTTGCAAGTTGGTTCGCGGAGTGCTGTTTTTTCAAGACAACGCATCCGTTCACACCGCTCGCGTTGCTATGGATACCTTGAAAGCTACTGGATTTACAGAAATTTACTATCCACACTACAGTCCAGACCTGGCTTTCTGTGACTTTTTCTGTATTCCAAGTTTGAAAGTGGAGTGAAGAAACGAAGAATTTCAGACGACAGTGAGATGAAAGCGAGAAAGTGAAGAGAAGTCTAAAGAATATTTTTTCAGTGATATAAAGGCATTGTATTCACGATGTAAAGTGTTTTTCACTTGAGAGAGGCTATACTGAAAAATAAGAAACATAAAACTATTCATTTGTATCATTAACTACTTTAGGCCATGAACTTATCAGCACTCCCTCGTATATATATAAATATATACATCTAGGCAAAGGTATCGACGTTTTCAAGAGCACCACTATTATGCACGTAAGGATTACAGGCGGGACAGTGATGGACCCTAATGTTCATACTATACAACAACAATTTACTCGATTGACAAATCTCCAGACTTTGTTTCTGTGGATCCACTTAAGAGAAAAGTAACCACGAAAGTCCTTCCTTGGTCAAACGGAACAGAATAACTCCCTAAGGTATGGGTAGGTATTCACTACTGTAGCCTTGGCATTCTGTTATGGCGACCGATATCTCCGCCTCCCCAATTATACAGACATTTAAGACCCTCATCCAAAATCTAAACTTACATTAATGGGCAGAAATCATCAACACAATTTTCAATGTTAGCTGTGGATAATGAGCTTTCTCCTATGACCAAAAAGAGTCTATTTAACTGTTTCATTTTTCCATCCAAAGTTTATGACTTATGTACAAAAAAAAAAAAAAATGCTTCCCACAAAAAAAAACAAGTCGAAGAGGTGGACAAAAATTATTTGCTTAGACTCGGTTGCTGAGGATTGTATTCGATAGCCTGTATTTTTCAATCTGAGTACGGTTTTAACAGCCGGAGATACCATCCTAAGAACTACACTACACAGCACCGCCCCTCATTACCAAATAAATCGACTACTGCCAAGGCTCTCCTCAGATTATCTGAGAACCTCAATGGGACCATTTTGCTTGACCCTCGTGTACTTTTTATTTAAATGAAAAATTATATCAAGACTGGTTTTCATAAAATGAAAATTACCTTGTCAGAATCGCTCGATTCAGTTTTTTGAACTTGATGTGGTATGAAATCACATTCTGGACTCGTACCGTAAATATCATCGAAATTTTCATACAATATAGGAATCTCCAATGTTAGAACCTCCGAAGTTGATTCAACTTTGCGAAATTTAAACAACATAACTTGTCCCACAGCACCAGCAACACATAATCGACGCGACTCAGAACAAAGATATATATGTTGTATAGCAAGTGGATTATCATTACCACTGTCGGAGTGCGAAGTTTTTGGTTTATCAAAAATCTTAGCAGTTTTCAATTTATACAGAATCTACAAAGAATTGAAATAAAAAAATATTGGATATACACATCACATTACATACTTGTAGTGTTCCAGCACCAGAATCCCAAAATTTCAATGTGCCATCTTGGTGACCTGTAATTACGATTTCCGAGTAACTGCACGATGCGGGAAACCACTCCCCGCCACTAATGGGCCATTCTCTTTCAGAAAAGCCAGTTTTCTTACTAGTCGTTGTGCGACCAACCTGAGAAAGTTGTTATTGGTTTAATAATTTCTTCACATACTCGACGTGGTTTATTAGTTTATATTAAAATACAGGATGCCTTAATATTTTTGTGGTCACAAGGCGGCAGCTCAAATTATTAAATAACTGTTATTTATTTATTGAAATCTAGATTAGTTATCTAAAATTTATATTTCCTTGTGTGTTCAAATTTACTCTTTAAAATATAGACACCGTGTATTTAGTACATTTTTTTTTTTTGCAAAATAGCTTACTGAATAAAAAGCAGGAACCAAATCCGAAGGACAATCAGTTAAGTAGGTGCAACATGTAACAGGTGATTCATGTAAGTCCATGGGATAAGGCGATTCGAAACATGGAAAACCGGGCGTGAGTAAGTCTATTAAAACTAAATCATATTGCAGGAGTACTGCTATCGCGTACGGCTCTTGGGTTTCTAAGAAAGCAAGCAATAAATTTTATATGGTTTACTTAAATTTATTCAATACATAGTTTAAATTCGTATATTTTAAGCAGAATTATTCAACTTAAGATACCAGATTGATTTTTATAACATTAAATTTCTTATTAAAAAATTTTTTCCTTGCACTAATACATAATCCTTATTTACATTTTATTACTCTAATGTTATATTTCATCAGCTTTTAGCTTATTCAAAATAAGCCGCAATTAAATTAACTATTTCTATAAGGATAGTTAGCATTAATACACATTTATATATAAATGTTTGGGTATTAATTAGAACAGAAACACTTACCGCATAACCAAGGATTTTCACAAAGTATAATAAAATCAACGACAGCGTGCTCCATTTCTAAAACAGTTGTTGATTTCCCCACCATAACAGTTATACAATTTGACTTAGAACATTTCTCAGTGGGCATCCCACCAGAAAATATTGTAAAAGTATCACTAAAATTCAAATTAAAATAATTTATTTGTTTGCATGATATAAAAAAATTTATTTTCAATTAACTCACCCCATTTGAGAAGTTTTTAAATCGACTTTATAAATAGGTTTACATTTTTCTACTACGCCTTCCTTAGAAACTTTAGCTACATAAAATAAATGGATTCACAATAAATATATATCAGTGAAAGCCCTAGCAAGGAAATCAGTGTGTAACAAATAAAAAATACGTACGTATGTATATGCATATAAAATTATTTAGTTTATCGAAAAAATTTTAAGAAAATTGTAAAAAATACATATACAGGGGGTCTAGTCAGACAACTCTCCGAGTTTATGACAAAAGTCATATTACAAAACAAAGGGCAATTTTCCAGTAAATCTTAACACTTGCGTAAGATCATATATGAAATGAAATAGCAGAGTCGAAAAGTCGGATAAATATTTCAATAAAAAATTAGTAGAACACATACCATATGTACTGAAGCGAGAATTGGAAGAAACCTATTTTGTTCAACAAATGGAGGATGACCGCCCAATGTTAAAGGTGCTTTTATTTCATGTCAGGTCTGCTTTCAGAGTGGCGCAAATTCCTTACCGAGTGGCGACCACAATCAGGAATATTAACTGAATTATACACCTGATGTTTTGAATCGAAAATCCTCAAAAAAAAAAAACATTGTAGAATGCACTATTATCTTCAAATAAACATTGGGTGCGTTCAGCGAACTGAGCGCTCAGTAAACGTGCTCAGTGAGCATTTGGAGAAAAAATGAATCGTAAAAACCTAATTTTTACTTGAAAATGCTTGTGACGACAAATTACTAAATTTTTTGGGTTGTCAAATAGATTTAGCTGCGCCATCTGCACTAGAAGAACAGTTTTTTTTTATGAATAAACTGTGCCACTTCACAATTAGTTTCGACAGTTGAAGTAGCATTGCGTTCATGAAAATTAATCGCTCAGTAAAAATTCAATATCGGGCGCTAAAAATGTAACAAAATTTACTTTACCGGTAACAGTGAGAATAGGTGTGTTACTGTCTATTTGACCTCACAGCTGTTACAGTGGAAGTTATTTTACATCAGTCAAACATTTTAAAAATTACATTCTACTTACCGTGAGGGCAAATAACCGATTGAGGCTTAACTATAGGTCTGGTTGGCCAAGTACATATGGAGCCATCCGTATGAGAGGAAACAAAATATTTGCCTTCATGGTGCCAAGCTACCGATTTGGCAGGTTCGGCAGCTTGCCAACGAAATTCTGCACATTTACTTTTTAAGTCCCACAGCACAAGAAGACCACATTCAAAAGCAATAAGTAGCTGTAGGATAATAATATGAATGACTATATTTACCACAATGAACATTATCATTAATCAAACATACCTTGTTTGCATCTATGGGATTATCACATAACGCAATCACAGCACCAGGATGACTAGTTCGAACCCTGTTCAAAAAGAAATTAAAATAAGATTATGTAAAAATATAATTCATCCTCTCCTTATTAAATTTTTCATAATGGCATGTAATTTTAACTCCTAAAAAAATTTGTTAAAAAAATTTCATTAGTATTTGTATAGCCTTACACTTCAATAGCCTTGTTCCAGTTTATTATATAGCCACTTAGGCTAAATGTTTCTACATGCACTACATGAATGTTGCCCCTCTCCGTTCCAACATATAGCCATTTGCTTCCAACAGGTAGATGAATACATGTTACCCTTAAAAGCCACATTCAAAGTAAGGAATTTATTATAAAAAAAAAAAACACTAAAAACATACCTCTCTCTCTGAAATTTGAGACTCTGAACTACTTGCGGTGTTTTCTGTCGAATACTCCACAAGTGTATTGTGTCATCCGCTGTAACCGTTACAAATGCACCCTCATTAATCAGAAATTCTAGAAGTATAACTGCGCACTCCGATTCACCTTCGTGTCTTGCATGTGCGTCTACACCTGGTCGTCCGAGTCTAATATAATAACAACAAATTATCAATACAATTTGAATAAAAAAAGAAGTTGTATGTATGTCTAAGCGTACATTCTTATGAATCCAGATTTATCTCCGATCGCTAGGAGTCTTTGTACAGGATCAAAAGCAAATGCAGTTGGAGAGTAAGGAAATCCGTGTCGAAATGTCTAAAAATATTTATAGAGCAATATTCTTATTTCACATTAATAAATCACATTAATAAATAATAAAATAATAAGAACATTTTTTTTCTTTTCTTTTTTTCCCTGCATTACTTTCAGTTGTTCCATTTCTTATTAATTACACTTTAGATTTAAACGTGAATAACTAATTAATAGTAAGATTTTAATTTCGATTTGGTAATTTAATTTATTAATAATAAGATAAGATAAAGATAATTTCGGTTTATTTCATACCGTTATTTCAACCAAATAATACGAATACTGAACCAAATAAGCAGAACTTTATATTATCTACATATGTATACATATGTACGCTAGCTGTCAGTTCTTATATAGCAAATTTTACCTAAATCACATATCTGTGAATTGAAATGTTTACTTTGTTATCGTTATCCGTACTTTTTGAATTATATGTATAGGAACAAGTCACCAATTCTACATTTTTGTTTGCACACAAAAATTTTTTACTTCCTCAAACATTTTATTTTACAGTAGAAAATAATAAAATGTAATAGCCGCGTGTGTCTTATGATAGATTCAATTACAGCTACCAAATAAAACAAACGCCAGCTACAACATTTCATTACTATGGTGATAATTTAAACTTTAAAAATTTTATTTTTTTATACATATAGGCATGCACGTACATTTGCATATACATTTACTGTGTTTTTATTTACCCTTTTAAGCGAAAAATGTTCCGCTTTTAAATGTTCCGGTATTTCCTGTTCTTGTCTGTAGACCTGTGGTTGCACGCTTTGTCGAAAACCATCGAGGACTCCCTTGAATGTGAATTTTTTCATTTTCGTGTAAATAAACTTTTACTTCGAAGCTTTAACGACCCGCTTGGATTTCGAGTTCTGGAAGAAAAACAATATTCACAACATAAAAAATTATAATAATTAATTTTCTATTATTAAAATCCCGTAAATAATTAATGTTTTTATATAATATAAATGATTAATCCATGTTGCCGTGGTCATCTAAAGGGAGATTCAGGAAACGAGCCGTTTCGACGGTGTTGGACCCAAAGGAGAGGGGGGTTAGATGAGTTTGTTTGCTAGGGCATGTGAAGAGGTGGTTAGTGTCGTGCGCAGACGCTCCACATGCAGGGCATACGTTAGATATGCTTGGGTTCGAGTCTGAATAAGTAGGAGTTTAACCTGCTACAGTATCCAAACCTAAGTTGTGCCAAGGTCACGCGGGTCTCTCGAGGCAGCTCGAACTCGTTGTCTGCAATGAGTTGTAGTTTTACCCCGAGCACGCTATTCACTGGAAGGGAGTCTTTGAAGGTGTCAAAGTCAAGTACTCCCTTTCTGACGTGCCTAGGTGGAGGTTCAGCTTCTTTTAGGTGCCTATTTGGGTGCTTCCTGCGGTAACATCCCAATAGAAACTGCTTGCACAACCAAGCATTATGCTCCTCATCTCGTAGCATAGATGCTTCGCTATGCAAGTGGTGCTCCGGCGAAATTTTTTCTTCACCGTTTTCCTTTTTAAAGATCCAGTCCTACTAAATATTTTTTATAGCTAGTAAACGTCCCGTGACGAAATTCGACCAGCTCTTTTTTGAAGAAAGAATGATTTTTTGGAAATGCGGACGCGGTAGGTGGCGAGTGGTTAGCATTGGAATATTCGAAAGGCTCGGGTTCAAATCCCGGCGTTGATTGTCCACCCCTCCGAGTGTATTTTGGGTATGATATAAAAAGGCGCCAGGTAAAGGAACCAGATCGATCATGATGTGATAGACGGAAGTCATGTATCCAGTTCTCTTGACCTGCGTACACTCCGATGACTCAAATGAGCCACTATCTTGTTGCAGCGAAGATACGCACCCTCCTCTGTGTATCGAATAACGCCCAACAACATACACAAGGAAAGTTCGTCGTCAAAAAGCAAACGGTTTTTACTCGACATGCATTCCTACTATCTGAGAGCGCTCATCAACAACTCGGCTGCAAATGAAACTATTGGATTTCGAAAAGATTGCGAAAACCGCTGGTACGCAGAAAAAAAGAGGCTGATATGCGTGAGCTCGAAGAGCTTGAGAAGCTGGCTGACAAAGGATTTCAATACCGAAGCAGAATCTTTTAGGACCCAGAGGGGTAATCTAGTGTCGGATGTCCAATTAACGTGGGAGAAGCCTCTTTAATATCGCATATAAGGTCCTGTGCGTATTGTGTAAAAACTAAAATCCACCGTCAAAAAACTGATTGGGCCTTATCAGTGTAAATCAATTGTTGGCCAGATATTCACCGTGCCCCAGATCTTGAGAAATACCTGTGAAAAGAGGATAAACACACACCACCTCTTCGTCGATTTTAAAACCGCCTTCGACAGCACGAATAAGAGCTGTCTTTACGCCGCTATGTATAAATTTGGTATCCCCACAAAACTTATACGGCTGTGAAAGCTGACGCTAAACAACACCAGAAGCAGAAAAGAAACCGAGCTTCAGAGCTGAATAGAGAAGGTACAATTTTCTATAAGATTGTAGAGCTGCTGGCGTACACCCATGATATCGGCATTATTGACCTCAACCACCGCGTCGTTAGTTCTGCTTTCTTCAGACTGGAAAATGAAGCGAAGGATATTGGCTGAAATATCTCCTGAAGTCCTCTATTGGCGAACGAAAACCAAACTCTACAAGTCACTTATCGTTTCCGTCCTGCTATATTGTACGGCGGCATGAACGATGACAACAGCTGATGAGTCGGCTTTAGGACTTATCAAAAGAAAGGTTTTGCTTAAAATTTACGGTCGTTTACGAGTACCGCAACTGATGGAATAATGAGCTGTATGAGATATATGGCGATATTGACATAACTCAGCGGTTGCGCAAGCTAAGTCATGTGGTCCGAATGGATAAGAATACTCCAGCTCTCACCTCCACTTCGTTGAAAAGACCAAGTAGAGAAAGACTTGGCTGTACTTGGTATCTCCGATTGGCGTCAAACAGCGAAAAAAAAAAAAACAAATGGCGCAATGGAGAACTAAGGAGCCAGACATGGAAACCATGAAATTTGAATCTATGAAATATGATACGTTGAACTTTTCCTGAGTTTTACTTGTGTTAAGGGATACATTGAAATCTAACATTATTGTCCATCTTCTGTTTTCATATGATATGTTAGCACAGGTAAAAAGAGAGCAAACCACTTTTCTTCTTCTACTTATTTATATATATTGTAGATTCAGCTTTAACGCTAACCGGAGAATCTTATATTTTGGAATGCATCCGACCGGCACATGTACATGAAATGTTTTAATTTTCCTAATATCAAATATCTGATTATTTCAATCGCCCCAAAATTAGATGTAGTAGATTAAATGTTTATTTTCATTGTGTTCAAGGTGAAATTCGAAGGCAATCTTATGATACAATAATTTAAAGGTAGTTTCATTCTCTTTTTGCAGTCGTCCTCATAGCTATCTGACATTAAACGTGTTTCGTCTTTTTCTCTTAATAAAATCTATTCTTTTATAAATGGAAAAAAAAATATGTGGAGAGTTTTAAAATTTTTCAAACGTTTTAATGTTCAAAAATCACGTATTGTATATTGCAATACCTGATAGTCAATTAGTAGATAGAGATTTCCGAAGAATCGATGGCGGAAAGCACTGAGGGCTGGGCAGTGGCAGAAAAGTTGTTTGAGAAACAACCATGAGTCCCCACAATACAGTGTCCGGTTAGGTCATGTTTAGAAGGAGTAAACGCTTAGTTCTGTCCACTTTGACCGATTGCACGTTTTTTCACTCTGTCATCTGCTGTTGGTCCTTCTGGTGAAATCTAGTCTTAACAATTACTTAGTCAAGGAAAGAGGTATGCCGACATCATGTGCAGATTTTTTAAATTGCTCCTTACCTGCTCAGCTCATTGGCCACGCAGTTCCCTGGGTTGGCACAATTTGCAGATCTATAAGTCTTAGTTTCGAAAAATAAAAATAAAAAATGATAGCTCTTTCCAATTTATTTATAATAAAAATTATCTAGCAAAATTTTTTTTTCCCGCCTGAGAAGAACGGCTTGAAGCAAGAATAGAAAATTGGACCTTGGGCAATCTTGTTACATTCGAGAATGTCATTATTTGTTGTTTTAAAGAATTTTTCATATGCATCCCGGGAATAATGGTAGTGTGCGAATGCATTAACCAATTTTCAGTTCAGTCTGCGATAAAAGACTTCGTGATTAGTCTTGAATTAATGATACACCTATTCAATATTTTATATGCTCAAATTGGGTTTTCTTTGAACTTAAATGAGTTGGCATTGCATTGTTGAAGTTTGCTTTAATCTAAGTATTCTGGGAGCGAAATACCTGTTTTGGATTTGACTTGAAATCCGAAAATGCATTTTTCTCACGGTTGGCCGCATGTTAATTTTGCGATGTCTAATTAAAAATAGCTTAACTCTTACTAGGGCAAAAATTCAACATAAAATATATCCTAAGAAAAAACAAGAGCAGAACAATTATTTCTGTAAATATCTAGTTCTACATGGTTTTAATTTAATGAAACTTAATTCGGATTTTACCCTTTTCATAAAGGAAATTCACAAAATTCTTAACATTACAGTCTTTAAATAATTATGTCCAAACACAAATTTAGATAATGACATATTTGTATAGTTTTAATTTAAAAGCAAAAATGAGAAAGAGTATTTGGATAAAATACTCTAAGCAACGTTAAACTTTAATATTATTGTAGTGCGTGACGCACAACAAAACTGGTACTCAAATCATCAATATGGATGGCAAATATGCATAACATGAAATATTGTGAAAATAATTTTTATCAAACCTTTGAGAAAGTTCGAAAGATGTGAGAGATAAGAACCGCCCGAAGTTACAAGTTAAGTTAGAAAACCTGAAAATATAAAAATTCTTTTCGTACAAACGTAAAGAGGTTAAATTTAACGCAGCCTTCAGATCTAAGTACTCTAGGGCACTTTGCGCTATTTTAAAACTCAAGTTCAAAAACTCTGCTAATGGTATGGTCTAACATTTCAAGCAATATTCTTCTTTACTGTTGTAATAAATTTCCACTTACAACAAAGGTTATAGTCGTAATACTACCTGCTTCTGCAATTTTATGCATATAAACTCATAGCACAAAGTTACAGAAACGTGAATGAATTCGAATTATTTCTAAAAAAAAAAATGTAGAAAAACCTTGTTGAACTATGGTAGCCCCAAGGTAGATGAACCACTTCGCTGGTATTTCTGAAATAAATAAAAACTGGAAATGAATAAAAACTCCTCTTTGACGCCTCAACATATCAAGACCAACGAAAACGTTAAAGAAATGGTTATGAACGATCGCCGAATTACAATTAAAGAAGTCGATGCTGATGTCAGCTTATCGATAGGATCCTGGCGTGATATTTTTTCTATGTTTTAGATATGAAACGCGTGGCAATAAAATTTGTGGCAAAGTTGTTAAATTTTGTACAAAACAGCGCTAACGACGATGCTGAATAACTGAAACGGTGTCATGTCATGGGGGAAACGGCCAAGGAGGAGTACTAACTAACGCCGTTTGCGTTAAGTAATCCGAAAAAAACGTTCGGAATTGTGGAAAAATAGTTCATGGCTTCTGCGACACGATACTGCACCTGCTCACTCTTGCTTGCGAAATCAATAATAAAACGATATCCCAGCCACTATATTCCCAAGTCATCTCTCCGTGTGATAAAGATATACTCAAAGGGACATGTATGTTAAATTTTTAAGAAATAAAATCAAGCATTAATAAAACCTACATTACGTAACGTTTGATGCAGGTCCTTACATCTTAGACCAACCTGTTGAAATATTATTAATGAATAACTGATATGAAAATTTGTAGTGAGAATTAAAAATGTATATGAAAACAATGTAAATTTTAATTGAGAATATTTAATTTCATGATAAAACAAGATTACATCGAAATAACTTTGTAGGCGGGCACATCACCCATACTATCAGAGATGCAGTATTTTCATCATTGCTAATGAGCAAAGAACCGTGAATTCCACAAAACTTTTCTCTCGGAAACTCCAAACAGCCTCTCGTCAGATGATACCAGTACTATCCAGCAGAATTGGAATAATGAGGGACTTGCAGGGTTTGGTCTTTATTTTTCAAAAGAAGGCGCTACTTTTCAATTGCCTATTCAATACAAAGATGCATCTATTGTCAAGAGTGAATCTACGTAGGATTTTCAAAATAACACTGTCAATGGTGTTTACGCTGAAAGGGATCTTCGACTCGCAAAAACTTTGCATCTCACAAAGAACGAAACGATTTTTATATTAAATTTCAACAAGTAACGCCCTTCAGATTTTATTAATATTTAATGTTGTGACTTTATGGATACATGTTATTCGTACAGTAAGGTATCGAATGCTAGAAATTTTTAATTTGATATTTTAAATGCGATATACATAGAAAATTCATTATACTAACTATCAACTCAAACGATTTGATTTTTATAGACAATATTTTAAGCTCTTTTATGGATGAATTTCTTTATATTTATTAAAAATCTCTTTGCAACTCAATTAAATAACTAACTACGCGGTAAACATTTGATTTTGCTATGGGCGTAACCTTAAACTTTGTATATTTTCAGTTTTTTTTCTGACTGTAAATTTAAATATATAATAATATAAATATTTGCTTATTATATATAAACTTGACGGCCGCGGTAGCCGAGTGGTTAGCGCTGCGTACTGCCCCCTCCGAGTGTACTTCCGTAATGAAAATCAAAAGCTCCTCATAAAAACCATCAGCCGTTCGGAGGCGGCTTAATATAAACTGTAGGTCCCTCCATTAATTGGAAAAACATCAAGACGCAAAACCACAAATTGGAGGAGAAGCTCGGCGGAAAATCACTTCAGCGGTTACAAAGCGCTAATTATATAGATATGTATATATAAACTTAAAAAGGTGTAGAATTGGTTTAATTTCTAGTGGTCTATTTTTTTTTAACATCAACTTAAGAATCAACTTAATATAAACAGTCACACCTTAACCAACTGAGTTACCACTTGTTGGTTCACCGAAAAAACCAAAAGAAACTATTGTACATATATGCATATATGAAAATATATGTGCTCACAAATTCTCATAATTATCATTTTCATTTAGCATATTTTAAATATTTTTATTTTATGAATCAACAAAGCTACACACATATTTTTGCACTTGTTCCGAATAAAAGCTTACGTAACAGTCTAAAATTCATACGTCACCCCACATAGTGTTACAACTGCTTTATTTCCTCACACATCAATCAAGGTCCTCAGAAACTAAAACACACTGCTTGATATCGCAAGACTTAATATCTGGTTAAAAAAAAAAGAAAACAAAATCTAAAGCTTTTACAAGTGCAAAGATGAATTAACACAAAAGTATAAGCAGTAGAGGACTTTGTTTATTTTCATTTCAATGTACTCGAAAATTAGAATTGTATTCAAAAATAACATATAACATTTATACAGATGTATATATGTACATACAAAACTAAGTACACACATACAAATCAAATCAGGTCTCTATTGGAACAACAAGTTAACTAAAAATCAGAGATGTTGTGCATGATTTTTCCAATAAAAGCAAGGACTTATGTACATATATATTGTAGTTGGCATAATTACATACAAATTTGTGCACATAATATACAACGTACATACAGATATGTATAAGTATGTTATATATGCAACAGAATGTTTAACTTTTTTCCATACATACTTACTTACTTTTTACGTCGTATTCATGTATCCCTAGCAATCCCTACACCTTTATATTTGTTTTTGCTTTCTCTATAAGAATTCGTTCATAAGGCAGTTGGCAGATAAAAGAAAAAAATTGGCGGGAATTATCATAATTTTCAGCTTCTAATAGTAAAAGTTAATTTAAAATTTACATTTTTTATGGATGCTTTTACATTTCAATTTTTTCCTTGTCTAAAATCAAATCTATGCGGAACGGTAAAGGTGATAACAGGATAGATATCGTCAGGATATTTCAAATACGCACGCAATAAGTTGGTATGTATGCATATGCGCGTACATATTCACATACTCATACGATTATATGAATGTATCTATGTATATACATACTTCGCACGCTTTTGTTATAAGTAGCACAAAAGCTTTATGATATCGCTACAGTTTTCTATACATCCAAACATGCCCAGCTTCTGCATGCTGAGTGAAGTGCAAAGTATTTTTAAGGAATATGTTCATAATACATAATCGAATATCTGTAACATTATTTTCCAGAAAACTTTACATATTTGTTTAACTTTAGCAATCTAACAAACCATTTTCGAGCATTATTAAATAAATAGTCCTTTTTACTACAAACTGTTATACATACATTAATATGTAAAGATTTTTTTTGAGTTCAATATAGTATGGCATATAACAGAGATGTGTTTGTAAGTAAATGTCCTCAATTAAAAAAAAATCTACTTAAAAGCAGATAATATCATAGATGCATAGCAGAGCATACATACGAGTATATGATACAAAATAAAAAGTTATTCAATAAGTATATATGTACGTACACTTTATTATTTATTTTAACAAGAAAATGGTAAACACTTACGTTTCGCAACATATTGGAAAAAAACTGGAAAACTTTTATTTTAACGTTATTTAATTATTAGACAACGATTTACATAATTTAATTTCCAACTAAAACGCCAAATCTGTTTCGAAACTTAACTACTTAACTTCAATTTTTCACAAGGTTAAAGTTAATGAAGTATTTGCAAATTACTCAATTGATTTTTCCCTCAATTTTGTAGCTTGATATATATTTTCGCACTAACCAATTCGGGTAAATCATTGAATATATCAATATTTATGAAAATTTGTTTTTTAAACGAGCACAATTAGTTTACTTAATATATTAACAGATTTTGTATGCACTTAAAAAGGTTTAATTTTATATTTTTTCATTTTTTAGATTAACACTTCTTGTAGGAAAATGTGGATAAGTCTGTTGTAGGACAATTGCAAAACGGGAATTGAATATATTCGGTGATTGCGCATGTTTACAACTTGACACTGTCCGGGGTTGAATAAGATACAAGACTTATTGTAAAAGCTTAGAGGTGGTGTAAGCTTACGGTCACATGATAGCTTTGTCGGGGCTTATTAATGTTTGTATCTCTCTACAAGTTCACGTTCAGATTTTAGATATTGTATTTTGCGGAAAGCTTTTGTTAATATTATAGTATTGTACGTTAAAACAATTAATGTTTCTTATTGTATTTACTATTGTATTTTCTTATATGCTTATTAATGTTAAAATAAAAGGTTAATTTTACAAATGTTTATCTGCATCTATACATAAACACATGTATGCTTTATATTACCAAAAAAAATATTACAAAATTTTTAAACTTGAAATGTAACAGTTGCTTTTTTATAACCAGCACGTATTTTGAAAAAAATTAAGAATGCATAGCTTATAAAAAACTGGTATCTACATACATATATGTACATTTGTGTTTGTCTGCGACAAAAAATAACACTGATCCCCAACTCGTATAAGTTTCTTTTGCTGACACGGTCAAAAGCATAAATAAGGGAATAAAAGTAAAAATTTTATCATGAAGACAATGTAATAGTTTTATAGGAAAAAAATTCCAAAAAAAAAATAATTTCACAGACTTCGAATTTCAGACGCAAATGTTTGAAGCAAAAACCAAGGTATATAAGGAACGTAACTTTTCTAACTCATGTAAGCTAAAAGCCATAGTTCCGAAAATTTCGAGAAATGTTTTTTGATGTTATTCAAATCCCTCAAGGGTGTCTTCTTTCGACCATTAAGTTTATATTTGCATTTAACGAAATATGCACTATTTTAGCTGCTTTCCCTCGCATTAATCATCAAATTTATGAGGATGATCTCTCAACAACTTCAGATTTCCTCAATTGAAATATTAGCTTTGTTATGTAACTGGTCCAAGTCCTCAGTCCCGACAATTTCTCTGACCACATCTAAACTACTACACATTTGTAAAAAAAAAAAAGAACATCACTGTAACACAGCCACTCTTAACTTCAACAATGTTAATTTAGCACGTACAGATAGTTTCAAGTTTCTAGGATTAATGTTAGACTTTTAGTACTCTTTTAAGCCGCACTGTCAGTATAAAAGAAAAAAACTATTTGTGAACTTAAACATTCTCAAATATCTATCGAGTAAGCGCTCACTCATAGGCCCTAAACGTAACCAAGTCTATCATCTCATCTATAATAAACTCTAAATGGCGAAATACACTCGGGGGGGTTGACATACCCTACCGAGGGACGACTGCAATTAGAAAAATTTACCTAATTGTTTATTGAAATAAATGTACGACACCAGCATTTGATCCCGAGCCTTCCGAATGGCGGTACCCAATGCTAACCACTTGGTTACCGGGGGCGCTATAATAAATTACTTCTTAGAAATACATGGCCACCACTATAAGAATCATGCTTGCTGCACCTTACCGCTCTTCTATTCGTCGCTCTATTCGCGCATTCCCGACATCTCCATCAAGAAAAATTTTACCGCAATCTGGACTACCTTCTCTACAGCACAGCGAGGAAGACTAACATTCAAAAGTTTTAGAACATTAATTTAAATAAAAAATTAAGTTAAATTTTCTAATTTCGGCCGCCCCATGGAAGGAAATGTCAACCCTTCCGAGTGTACTTCAAAAGCTTCTCATAAAAACCATCAGCCGTTCGGAGGCGGCTTAGTATGAACTGTAGGTCCCTCCATGTATTGGAAAAATATCAAGACGCTCCGTAGAAAACGCTTAAAAATTATAATTATATTATACCTCAAATTTAACAAATGCATAGGTATTGTTATGCTAAGTTAAACATTTCCTTTTCTTTGGAGTAGTGGGACCGACTTATCCCATTTCGCTTGGCTTATGATGAAACACTGTTTTTTTTCCGGAAAGTGAACCAGAAATGGGCATATTTAAAAAAATCGTATTTATGGTTCCAGATAACGTTTTTTTATGTTTTAGAAGTTATTTTTATGGTCGTTTCGGTTGAAACATTTGAAAATATTAACGTTAAAGCAGTTATCAAAATAAATTCCTTTACCTTTTTACCCGAAACGAAAATCGTTCACAGATAATGGTAAACATTAAAATTGAAATGTGCTTTTAAATCATAGCAGACAGCCATTTTAAATTTAACGTTAACATTGAGGTTATGCGATTTCAACGTTAACGATTTCATTGTGTTTCGATAACATGTCGCCGAAACGAAACGATTTCATTTCGTTGAGTTAATTTTTCTTGTAAACGGAACGAAATGATATCGTGGCGTTTGTTGATCATGTATGGTTCTTTTCGATTTTTCTATCTTTATTATGTCTATATATGTAAGTCATTGGTCTCCATCCGCAGCTCACACGAATTCTCTCATTAATTTGCTCTCAGAAGTATTTCATCATTTTAACACTTTATGTTATTTATTCTTTGACAATATAAAGTTACAGACAGAATTCAATAAAGATTTTTAAAAGGAGTTCGATATATACATATAAGTAATTAACTTTTTAGCACACTCGATCTTTTCTTACTAACACATTCTCGTTTTTATTTTCGATTATCTCTGATATATTTAAATTAGAAATTTATTTCCCGAAAATAGACCAGAATAGATATATTTGAAATATAGCCTGTCTGCAGCTGTTTGCCTAGAATATATTTATACCTTATGCTTTATTTCTGGAAGGGGATCATTGATGAACGGCAAGCGATTTACTTCGAGGTGGTATTCTTCTTTGCCTCCACCAGTGAATATTTACCATTTTATTTTCAATATACAATTTATTTGTCAAATTTTTCTCCAATTTGCTTATTCCTCTTCCTCAGTTTGTCCTCCTTTCTTTCAAACTTGTATCCTTCACATCTAACTTCACTATATAATGCGCTGCCAAAATTGAAAAATCCATTTGCTCAACGTTGACGCCGCGTTATTATGAGATATCCAATACAAATTGTATGGCCGTGAGGATTTTCGACAGTTGTTTAGCGCTCAACGCTACAATTTAGTAAAAACTAGCTCAGCTGATATAATGTTCGAACGCCAACTTTGAATGCACTTACATATGCATGTGCCCACATATACGAGTATACACGTGCTGGATCAATAACATAATGGGAAATTTAATATTTCTTCTTTGCATATTATATCTTTTATAATACCAGTTATATAATCCAAAATTAACAATATACATAAAGCCACAAGTCTTTTATTTATAAATAGAAACTAACATAAAACGCAAGAAACAAAGAATTGTCTTCTCTAGTTAAACAGTGGTATTACAATAAAGTAACATTTATCAATTAAAATTAACTTAAGAAATTAAATTTGATGGGTTGTCTAAAACTAAATGTGTTTTATGACTTTAAAAATTAATAAAATGCACAAAACAATAACTTGAACTATCTTCCGATCATTGTACAGTCCTACAAGGCGTCAAAAAGCAGCTGAGATCACCTGATCAAAGTACTCTACTTTCTCACCAGGGATGTAATAAATATACCCAATATTCATGGCACTAAGGTCTGCTTAAGTAGTACACACATTTATAAAAAACTAAAGAAATAAATAAAATACACATATCAAATATTTATATATTGCTTTTTTTCATTATTAGGTTGTATAAATGCGCTTTTATGGGCCCTTGATACCACTGTAGGTCTATTTTCACCCATATATATATTATTATATATATATACTAAAACTTCCCCTGTTCTTTATTGCGGCGAATTTAAGCTACAACACGCAGGGTTGTAAGCGATAAAAAAAATCCTTTAAAAGTGGAGATTTAATACATGCTTTAAATTTTAAAAATATTAAATTTAAACTCTTCCTTATAATTAAACTTATATTTAGTTAACATTCTTTATCATCCATTAAGTTGGATATCCTCCTTTCTTTTGTTAAACCTTAGTCACCTTCAAGTTAGCTCAGAAAATAAAAATAAAAATTTTCGCCGAAGATATTATTAGCACGGTAACACACTCAACTAAATACTAACGGTTTAGCCCAAAATTTAGAGAAACGTCGCAAAGAATCCACCTAGATAACCCGCAGCTCGTGCCTGCGGTTGGTGCCTATCTTTAAATTCGCTTTTTCATTTCATTCTATTGTTATTGCATTTCTTTCCTTCACACATATTTAGTTGATGTGCCCGTAGAAAGTGAGCTTGTATGTGTGAAAATGCCAGTTTTGTTATTTGTAGGTTTGTAAAATGTTTTCCATACATTAATATATTGTGTCGAAAATGCCAAATACGAATGACAAATGAATAGAAAATGCCGATAACTAAAGCACATCAGAAAACATATCACCTCTATACGATATTAGTAAGAGGCTATTTCACCGCTATTTAACAGCAAACTACTAGAAACTGACAAATTTTTTACAGAAGAATTATATTTGATATTATTTTGCTAATTTGTTATTATCTTGCCCAGAAATTTTGACAAATAGAGTCGAATTCTGGCGGCAGTGGTGAAATAGTCTTCTATATACTTTTATTTATTATTTTTTTCGTCGATTCCGGCAATTCACATGCTGTCCGGAAACGGTCCTACTCGTTATTTAACGTGCTCTGATTCTAGAACGCGAGTATCGAATATTCTGTATATCGTAATAGCATGCCAGAAACTTGTCGAAAAGAGTAAGAGCTTCATCAAATGGGTATATAAAAGAACGGCCGTCGCAACGTTAGTCAGTTACAATGCAAACTCGTTGATAACAACTTTGGTACAAAACGAAAATAGTAAAATGTGAAAGTTGTAATATAAGTCCTAGTGTTTAGTAATGCAAATTGTGATTTATTGAGTTGTGAATAGACGTTGATTAAATTCTTTACAATTAAGAAATTGTACAAGTTTGTTGACTTTTGTTTAAACAAACCAGTGATCGAACTAAAGAATTTGGGAAATGATCGAGGCGTGTCTCAATAATTCATTTGTTTGACAGATATATTAGATACTCCATTTCTGATTCGAATAATAATTTTTTTTACTTAGACGTCTATAAGCTTC